GGGTACCTAACTTACATGTCCTCACAAGAGTTCACACCCCACACCAACATAGTCAGACAGGGTACCTAACTTACATGTCCTCACAAGAGTTCACAAAACATGAGCTAACAAATAAAAATAAGGATGTGGATCATTTCAAACCACAAGCTGTATAAAGCCTATGCTATATAGAAAAATTCTGATAAAAATCAATAGCATTGCCCAATGCTTGTGCTAGATGCTAATTTTTCAAATTGAATCGATCAGCTGTGCCGATAAGTCTTCACAAGATGAAAACAAGCGCGTAACTTAAAAGACACCATACAAAAAAGAGACGCCATACAATATGATCAATTTATTATGTTGTAAATGTACATACATGAATGCATGTATGTACACATGTGCGTGTATATGAACGTATAAAATCTGTCATATTCTAGACAACACATGCTGTTACTATCTACGGACAGAATTTTCAGGTATGAGTAACATATGTGTGTAATATTCAGATGATGATAGAATATGTGTAACTAATAATGTGAACTACCTCAAGGTTGCAGCACGCTGAATGAAAGATTCCGAATCCAGGCTTAGGCAGGAATTACTGTGTTGTACAATGCATAACATAGTGCTTGACTTTCTCTGTCTACCTATAAAAGTGACTTAGGGTTGATTTGAGAAATTTCTTAACAACAACAACAAAAAAGTAAAGCAAGCATATGATGTTTCAAAGTATGATAAAAACACAGAATACAAACTGCATTTTATATTTACCTTCTTTTGCTTTCTTATGTTCAAGTCTTTCCTTTTGCAAGGATTTCTCTAATCTTGATCTGTGTTCATACACAACTGAAAGAAAAAAGTTAAAATTTGTCTGCAAAGAATTAGAAATTCTAAAGTAAAATTCACATCAATTTTCAAAATTGGGGGAAACACTTTAGGGTCTTCACAATTAAAATAAAAATGTATGCGTTTATAAGTTCCACATGAAGGGTAAAAAACAGCCACAACAGACGTTAAGTCTGAGCTGACTTCCGCACGGTCTGCCCCTTTACAGAAGCAATACTAAGCAGTACTCTGAAAGAGGTTTCCTTCCATCTTCTTTACCAGCCCCTGCTCCTTCTCCTGCTTCTCAAAACCTTCTCTGTGAGGTTCCATGTCTTTTCCTGGGTAAATGTGTCCACTCTCTTGACTTCTACCACTGTTTGCACAGCAGTTAGCCCCACACCTCTATTTCTGGCTCCCACCTCTGTCTTAGGTACTAGGACAGCATTTCCTAAAGACTCCAGGGTTTTTCCACCTAGGTATCCCATAAGTACTGCCAAGTCCACATGATCTGAATTGGAACTAAGGCTGCTGGACCCATGAGAAAACCTCAGCACCCCATCGGCATAAAAGAGATGGTGTGTTCCCCCACATCAAGGAAAACACAGGTGAGAGAGCCACAGAAATGAAGGGGGGAGGGACTCTACAGAGAACCTGTGAAAGTCAGGTTCACATCTGCCATGGCGCCACGGTTCCCCTACCTGCCCTGTCTACTCTGAAGACGCCAGCGTTGCCTGGCGAGTAGAGAGAAGTGTGGATGTCCTAGGGGGAAAGCAGGGAGGAGAAGCTTATCAGAACTCCCTTCCCCACCTCTGGCTTCACATCTACAGCAAACAGGAGCTCGAAGAGTGGGAAAAGCTCTGCTTTTGAATGAATAAAATAAGAAAACAGGTATTTTATTTATATAATAACATGTATGCATAGGGACTAGACCAGACATAATACTTACAAGACCGAGACTGTGTTTATGGATAAAAGTTATTAATACTTTTTTTTAATCTGAGAGAAGTCGAGAAGTATCCAAGTCTGTGTTTTCATTCTGGGACAGAAAACCCAGCCTCAACAGAGTGGTTTGTAAAAGGCAAAGAAGGGGAAAAAAGGCAAAAACTGAATTTCTGAGGTAGGCTCTGAATCCTATTTGTGCAGCAGTATGGTCACCTATGATCTCATTCCTTGCCAAACTAAGCCCAAGCTGTCATTTGGTTCTTCGACTGGTCTTTAGCTGCCTTTGGCCACCTAAGGTACAATTTAATCATCAATCACTGACTCGCCAGGTACAACACATCCAACTGCCCAGCACTACGGGCCATCCCAAAGGGCCAAGGTCACAGCCCCTCCCCTCCCTCACGCCTGCTGTAACTCTCTGCTGTCTGCCCTCCCCCAGTGTCCCGGCTGCCAGTTACCCACCACTGCTGTCCTCCTTCCAACAGGCCCCGCGTCTCCTGGGTCCTCCACCTCCTCCCCATGCTGCGCGTCTCATCTTGCCATCCTACAGAAACCTTCCGTTTCCAGGGCTCCCTCTACACTACCACAGCCCCTACCTCTACCCACACTTCTGCTAACGTCTCTGTGCACTCCCCCTCAGAACGCCTGCCACGACCCGAACCAGCATGGTGTCCTCCCGCAGCACGTGGGCCCCAACCTCAGCTTTCCCCGCAGCCTCAGCCTCCCACAGGTCACCCTAACACTCCCCGTCCCAGTCTTTTTCTCCGCCCGGGTTCGATTTTTTTTGCCAGATGACCCCTACCCCCCCCCCCGTGCTATTATTATAAAGGATCCGATACAACTCTGCATTTATTGAGCCCCTACTATGTATCTGGAACCACATTATGTGTAGAAATGCAAAATGAATAGACATGGGCCTTGGCCACAAGCAGCTCAAGCCTAACACAGTAGATAGGTTAGGTAATTTTTATATAATTAGAGCTAAATACATTTAGCATAATAAAAGTATATTTAAGCCCAAGGAAAGACAAGAATGAGCTCTGGATGGGAGAAGGGTGAGGCAGGCATCAGAGGTACTCATCTCTTGGCTGGCTTTGAGAATGAAGAGCAACTTGATAGAAAAGGGTGCCACGGGAGAAAGGCATCTCTGGAAGACATCATAGGGACAAAGGCACAGAGGTCAGAAATTGGGCTAAAGGTAGCTGAACTCCAAAAAGCTTGGCTGTAAGTCCATTGTTGAGAAATTACATTTTTTTCCAAACAAATCTGTACAGTATATAAGTCCCTCTGCTGATTTCTTTTTTTTTTTTTTTTTTTAAAGATTTTATTTATTTATTTAATTGACAGAGAGAGAGACAGCGAGAGAGGGAACACAAGCAGGGGGAGGGTCAGAGGGAGAAGCAGGCTTCCCGCGGAGCGGGGAGCCCGATGCGGGGCTCGATCCCAGGACCCTGAGATCATGACCTGAGCCGAAGGCAGTCGCTTAACCAACTGAGCCACCCAGGCGCCCCCCTCTGCTGATTTCTAAAAGCCTATTAAAACCAAGAAGTTCCTTGAATTGGTACTAGGAGTATCATCTGGAATGATGTTTGGAACACGGCAGAGGAAAAAAAGATTAGCACTTTAAGGATCTCACTAAGGCAAGCCCTAAACTGCATGCTTACAGTCTTTGAGAATTTCAGTCAGGTGGGAAAAGTGTACAGGGAACCAGGTCTATTACAATGCTATCCTGATATCCCAGAGGCAAGAACAGGATGGCAGAGCAACACCTGAGCCCCCCAGCTGGAAAGAAATACACTCCCTCTCCTCTAATCCACTGGCCAAAGTTCCCAGGTCTGGGTAGGGTCATGGAAACATAAACATGCCAGTTAAAATGGAATTGTGGTGCACGAAGTGGATATATCACAGATGATTTTAGCAAGCACGTGCATCACTTTCAAAGAAAGGAACAGGAAGAATAGTCAAGATCTTTTTTCCAATGGAACTGAAGTGGCAGTGGGGGTGGGGAGGGCCCAAGTTTAGGGGCTCCCAAGGAGGTCAGGACCACTAGAGGGAAGCGATTCCAGCCTAGAAACATCCATGATTTTAAAAGACAGCAGCATAATCAACAAGACAAACAGGAGAGGACTGCTCACCACCTATCACCAGGCACCTCAGACTCTAAGTAGTAAACCTCGTTATGGAATGGTAATGATAGATGGGAAACAAAAGAGGGGGAACGCTGCATTTGCAAATTACAATCTGGTGAAATTCTTTACTTAAGATACAGCAGCAATCACTACAATCTTGCTGTTGCAAAGCCAGGCTTGTATGGGACTTGGTAATCAGGTAATGACTGTCTTTGCACTGGGAAGCAGAAAACTCATCAGTATTATTTCATCTTCAGTAAGAGTGGAGAGTCCACTAGATTACAGCCAGTAGAGAGGGAGTATAGGGGATGGGATGAGAGGGTGGGAGACCCTGCTCCATTCTTTAGTCTCTTCCCTGCAATGCGGCCAGGTAGATAATGTGCCAACGGCTGGCCCAAAATACCCATTTATCATACTGAACCACACAACTGTCTTCGACAGTTTTACGCTCAGTGGGAATTGACACACTCAACATATTAATAGCAGGGTAGTCTCAAGAGCCAGAAAATCCTAGGATACACAATTACAAACTTTCATCAATAACCTAAACAGATGCTACACAATGTCCACTAAGAGAAGGACATGTTTGTGGATTCCAGTCAAAATTCAAAGGTCTTGAGAAATCTTGAGATATTCACGGATGAATAAGATGGCATCACTAGTAGCAAGATCTAAGGCATGAAGAATGTGGTTTTGCAAAAGCAGGGAAAAAAGATGTGGTAAACAGGAAGAGAGGATATACACACAAACCATGAGGTAATCGTACTATTCATGTTTTCTTACTCAGAACTGGTCAAGCCGTTAGTATAGCACCAGTTTCTAGTCCTGTCATAAAATAACTGAAGAAGGCAGAAATGGCGTCAGGGTGGAAGATTGTGAGCAAGGGGGAGGGGAGAAAAGGGAGCCGCAGCGACTGGCAGAGGCGGGAGGTGGGAGAAGCGCCGTTCCTTCCTCAAGTTGAGAAAACAAAGCCAAAAGCAGCCTTAGAAGATAAGCTGAGGACACCACATTAGGGAAGGGAAAGTGGGAGTGAAAAGTCACCCTTGGAATTGCAAATTCGAAAAAGAAAGGCAGAGAAAGAAAGAGGCAGGCGGTAACAGAGTGGTTGAGAGCACGGAGTCTGGTGTCTGGACTCAAATCCCAGATCGATTCCCTATGGGGCAAGCTGCTGAACTTCTCTGTACTTCAGTCTCCTGACATCGTCTATGGGAATAACGACAGTATCTATCTCTCTGGGTGGAAGTCAGGCTTAAATGAGTTAATATGTGCCAAGTGCTTAGAACACTACCTGGCACAGAGTAAATGCTAGAAAATCCTAAAATACTTTTTTCTCCTATCTGTGGTGGCTTAAGATTGCCAGAGAAGGAATCAGAGGCTTTCAACCCTACAATTAAAGTCTAATAATAATGAAGTGATTGTATGTGTGTATATATATAATATATATATATATATATTATATATATAATATGGAGAGAGGGCGGGGGACTCGAAAAGGCAATAAAATATTAATTTCGGTTCCCTTTTACTTAAAAGAAATTTTTCCCTTAAAAAAAAAAAGAAGAGAGTAAATAATCAGTCCAACAGCTCCAAAACTCATAAGCCTTTTTTTAATATAAACTGAAAGACAGTAACACAGACCAGATAGAATTTTCATGTCCTTGTAGTTCTCCTAGAAAATTTCCCTATCAACTAAACATACATACACACATACACCCACACTCCCCTTTAATTCTTTTAACGTGCATTCTCCAAGCCTTTGAGCTAGTGATTTATCTAGATAGGTTTACTGTTTCACTTAGAAGGAGGATCCGCTAATCAATCCTTGTCACCCATCTCTATTTTTCTATTTATACTCTGAAGTCAAGGGCATCAGTCAAGATGAGCTAATACTGCTAGAACCTCTACAACAAAAAAGGTACATAATGAATATTCTCAAAGCACCAGACAAGT